TGTGTGTGTGTGCGCATGTATACATGCATGTGTATACACACACACACACACACACACACACATATATATATATATATATATATATATATATATATATATATATATATATATATATATATATACATATATATATATATATATATATATATATATATATATATATATGTGTGTGTGTGTGTGTGTGTGTGTGTTTGTGTGTGTGTGCATGTATACATGTATATATACATACATATACATATATATATGTATATGTGTGTGTGTGTGTGTGGGTGTGTGTGTGAACAATCTGATGGGCATCGATACACAGAATTTTCTAACGATACATTGATATTTGAAAACTGCCTCAAGCGATTCCGATACATCTATTCTTCGTAGTTAGCTAAAGCGATGCCGATACCAATTCATGTTTCACGGTACATGTAAGAAAGTATGTAAATATTTGATTTCGATGTCTAATGCACTACAAACAATGACTGCTGCAGAAAAGTGTTTTCAAACTTGTGTCCATGTGTACACCACAGTGCAACTGACAGGTGCGTTCATGGCATTCAGTGCATGAATTAAGACTATTAAAAAACGTTCCTTTATGACCAAGGAAAAGCTTTCACACCTCGACAGGGTGAGCGAGAACACACACACATACATGCACAGATAGATTAATAGATAGATAGATTGATAGATACAGAGAGAGAGAGAGAAAGATAATAAGAGAGCGAGAGATAGTAAGCGAGAGAATCAGAGTCAGAGATAATGAGAGAGAGAGAAAGAGAATGAGGGAAGGATAAGAGGGAGAAAGAGAATAATATGCATTATTTCTAGATATGCTGTACTAGAGTGATATTTTTCCTAAATATTTAAATAAAATCCTAGGTAACACATTTGGGGTCAGAATGAAAGATACAAATTTCATAATTTGCCAACTAATGACTCGTAATTCTACCTAGACTTGCAATACAGCACTAACTCCTGCACTGTGATATTCACAGGTAGGCCTACATTACATATACGAAATCGTCCCTAAGAATTCCACATTATATATATATATATATATATGTATATATATATATATATATATATATATATATATATATATATATATATATATTTATATACATATATACACACACACACACACTTATATATATGTATACACACAAACTTACGTATATACATACATGTTAGCAATGCCGGCCAGGATGCTTTATCACTGGTCCACCCCATGAAATTTGAAATTAACTGAGGCACCTTAGCATTCCTTTGATTTTTTGCATAAACAGTCTATTGAATTTTTATTTAAATTTAAGCAAAGACATGATTACGGATAATATATAATATATAAGTGGAGAGCTTCCCTTACCTGTACAAAGAGCGGTATCTTCAGCAGACTCGGTCTGTGTCGTAACTGTGTCTTTCACCCTGAATCTGCCCCCCGTTGTCAAAGCGAGAAAAAAGTATAATCTTATCATTTTCTTTTTGAAGGGCTTGCCCTGTTGCCACGGTACATTGCATTGTGTGTACATTGTGTGTGTACATACGTACACACACATACACACACGCACACAAATAAATGTGTGTGCGTATACGTACACAAACATTTATTTATTTATTTATTTATTTATTTATCTTATTTATTTATCTATTTATTTATTATGTGTGTGGAGATGTTGATTACCACACTTAAGACATCGTTTTAAATGAGAGTGACAGTTTTTTAATGGTTGTATATAAAAGACGTAATACAGTTAATATTATTTATTATACGAAGTATAACACTGACAAAATGAACACACAGACATTACGAATATGGATCTATAAGGGCTATAACGTTCACCAATTCACTTTCCGAAGCTTATCACTGTTTATCACCATTCACTTTTATTTAATTGATCATTACTCAGCGTTCATTTAACAGTTACCGGGCACTATACACAATCTTGAGCAGCATCCAGTCTCCGTCTCGCTGGTTCCTTCTTTAGATTAGTGTCGGTAGTACAGCTTCTTGTGAATATTAGCCCACAATTCTAAAAGAACATAAAACAAATAAGATTTGACCCTTGTTTCCATCTCCAAGTGGAAATCAATGAACGTTTCATCAACCTAATTTACATATATACAATAAAAAAACAAAGTTATAAATTCCTATACATATAAGGCATACCTTATATTTCAATTACAACTAAATTGTCAGCAGCCGATATGATACCATCGTGGCCCACAAGTCGGGACAACCACTCCTGTGCAACAATCGCCACGGCTTCCTCTGCCGGAGAGACCTTTCACACTGCCCAGGCCTACCACGACAGCTACTCATCCAGCTGTCGCGGTTAGCTCAGTGTTATCCAAACTTCTGGTTGAATTACACTACGGGCCCATACGCCACGTTTCAAATGTTATATGCCTAGTTCTTACTTTCTTTATTTTGTGGTAGCACTGTGGTCCGAATCGTCAAGGCAATTGGCCAGAAAGAGAGCCTAATGATTGAGGCAACCATCAACAGAAAAACCAATGTGGGTGTGTGTGTGTGTGTGTGTGTGTGTGTGTGTGTGTGTGTGTGTGTGTGTGTGTGTGTGTGTGTGTGTGTGTGTGTGTGTGTGTGTGCATGAGTACGTGTGCGTGCGAGTGTGAGCGGGTGTGTGTGTATAGGTGTGTGTGTGTGTGTATAGGTGTGTGTGTGTGTATAGGTGGGTGTGTGTGTGTACATGTGTGTTGCGCGTGTACGTGTGTGTTGCGCGTGTACATGTGTTGTGCGTGTATGTGTAAGTGTATGTGCGCGTGTAAGTGTACGTGTATGTGTGAACGAGGGTAACTACATAAGGGCTTGTTCGTGTGTGCGTGAGCGCTCACGAACGTAGTTACGTGTAGACAAACAGGTACGGGTATGAATTCCTTTGTGTATTTGCATAAAAAGTCTCCATCTCTTAAAAATCACGTTAACATGTTTACCATGAGGGAACACACTGTTTGGGCCATTACTTATTCTCTAAAATAACTGTTCCTCTCCTCCACAATTCTTATTTGATAAAATTAAAAAGACAAGGTAAAATCGGAAAAAGAAAATAAAAGGGCGAGTTCTGGTGTTTTACTGGGAGAGTGACAGCGTACATATACACAAACCAATATAATTAGCATTACCTTTTCATATCAGATCACAGGTCACTGTTGCAATCCGCTGTCGAAAGGAGTCCGTTACAAAAAGTTCAGTAAGGTACACAAAAACACAAAAGGCGACAGCGTGTTGCCTTGGCGAACCCCAGCCTGCCCTCTCTCTGTCTCGAGTGTGTCTCTCGGCGGGCTACCCCCAGGTGCGCATCCTCACCTTCGCGGTAATTAGCCACTACATAGTTCACTAGTTTTTTTCCTGCTCAAGTACTTGTGGCTTAGTGAATACCATTGTCACAGTTAAATCTTGGTCGTTTATCTGGTTATCACGCCTTTTGCAGTGATCTGGTTTTGTTCCGCTATTTTTAACTATTCTATATATATTATTGTTCATGCGTGTCATTCCTTCCGCAAATCTGATCACGACAACCCCTCCCATGGCCCGGGAGTGAATGTCGGGGCGTCGCCTCCACTCGCCTCGAGTCTTGGATGGTATCCCTAGGTTCCGCTCCGGGCCCGCCCATGTCCGTGACGATCTGGCGCAGAAAATACGAAGCCATCATCGGGAATAACAGCGACGAGCCGACCATTCACACTCCCATCTCCAGGACATCTAGCAGCAACAGCCGAGGTTCTTCTCGTCTACATCGTCTATCCCGTCCGTTCCGTCCACCTCGACCACTCGTCCATGCTAGCTATAGTGTCCCTGTCTCATCTCCTAACCGGTGGGAATGGGGAGACCTGTGACCAGACAATCTGTGGAAGACACTCACAGAACATCCAAAATACATGGCTGGGGCCGCTGTCATCGGCTCCCTCGCAGCGGCAGGACCTGTGGATATTAAAAAGCAGTAATTATAAAGGCTGTGTATACTGAGCCGGCCCTCGAAGTAAAACTACCAGAACTCTTAAAATAATAAATAAACTAAAAGGAACATAAAATCGGTAAAATGATCAATTAAAACAAATCAAAACCGATCAGAACCAACTAAAAGAATGCTTACAAATTAAAAACAAACTTAAAACTAAGGCCTTACAAACTAAAAGACATTAAATTAAAGGTACACAACTTAAAAGGTAAAAGTTATGTAAAATAACGTAGTAAAAACAAAAAGGACATTACGAACATAAAAGTAAATACGAAATTTCAAACATAAAACATAATAAAAACATACAGTTAATATACATATATACAAATAAAAAAAATAAAGGAAACCTCTATGTACTGCATCTCAGCAAGGGCGTACAGAGGATAGAAGCAGTACTTCCTGAGGATCTATATCAGCATCCTCCTCACGATTTAACTGCTGTGAGTTAACAGATGGGTCAGACTGTGGGTTGGGTGAATTCACGAACGCTAGCTCATCAGGTGTCCTGAAAGGTTTTATTTGGTTAGCATGTAATCTGCGTTCTTTGTAAGGTGGTTCTACATCCTGAGTGATATAGGTTACAGGCCCAACACGTTTCATTATACGAGCTGGCCCATCCCAGCGTGAACCCAAAGTTCTACGAGGACCAGTAAGCCTGCGGAAGTTTCTGAAAAGGATCAGTGAACCCACACTCATTTCAGGAACTTTTCTACCTCGCTTGTTGTAATTCCTAGCCCATGTTTCCCGAGCCCGACGCGACGTCTCTACTGCAATGTACCGCGCTTCCTGCAAAGCATCATGAAACTCCTTTGCAGCATCTGTTGCAAACGTCACGTCATTAGAGAGACCTACAGGGAAATGACCATGATGACCCATGAGAAGATAAAGTGGCTGGTCACCTACCGAGCGATGGAAAGCACTGTTCAATGCCAATCGAACCTGAGGAACATACTGATGCCACTCTAATGGATGTCTCTCAGTTAGAGTTGCTAATGCCTCTTTGACAACCTTGTTCGACCTCTCCACCATCCCATTAGCCTGTGGGTGACATGCAATGGTAAGGTGAGTCTTAGTTTTGACAATACTACAGACCTGGGTAAACAACCTATTTGTAAACTCACACCCACCGTCTGTCTGCAAGAGCCGTGGTGGACCAAAAATTGTCAAGAAGTCATTAATATAAGCCTCTGCAATCACCTCGGCCTCCTTAGAAGGGACTGGAATTAACTGCAAGAATCGTGTCAGATGGTCAATCAGAACAAGAATATACCTATACCCAGCAGTTGACATGCCACAGTCTACAAGATCAGCTGACACCTTCTCAAAGGGAGCTGATACCTCTGGTGCAGCAGCTAAAGGGGCTCTGTGTGGAGTACCTTTCCTTCGCTGGCATGTTGCACATGAAGCAACATAGCTTTTAACATCACGCAACATGTTCGGGAAATAGAATAAATCTCTTAACTTCTGATAAGTACGAAATACACCAGGATGAGAGGCGAATGCACTATCATGTGCAAGCTTCAAAGCGGCTGCACGTAATGACCGAGGAACTACCAACTGATGTACTACATGCCCAGGTAACTCATGAACATGATAGAGAACACCATTTTGCAAAGAAAATTCATCGAGAGCCAAAGGTATCTTCTTTTTTGGCATGTTCTTTTCCTCCAGATACTCGATGATCTCCAGGAGCAATGAGTCCTTAAGTTGTTCTTCCCGCATAGCAGTGGGATCAACATCAGCAAGATCAATTTGCCCGACGGAACGTGATAACATATCTGGCACTTTATGTTGCACTCCCTGTTTATAAATGATTTTGAATTGATAATGAGATAGCTCATAAGCCCAACGTGACATTCGAGCGCTCTTGGTCTTCCTTGTAAAAACATATACTAATGGACGGTGATCAGTGTACACAGTAAACTGCCTGCCATAGATATAAGGGTCGAAAGCCCTGACTCCTTCTACAACGGCAAGAGCTTCGGCATCTGTTGCAGAGTAACGTGTTTCTGCCCCACGGAGTTTTCGGGAAAAGTATGCAACTGCAGAAGGGTTGCCATGAACATCCCTCTGCATTAAACATGCGCCAATAGCTAATTGTGATGCATCTGTGTGCACCTCAAAGGGGTCATTAAAACGGGGTTTCTGCAATATAGGGGCAGAGGCTAACTTATCCTTCAGAGACTGGAAGGCTTCTTGTTCACGAATACCCCATCTAAATGGCTGATCCTTTCTAGTTAGCTGTGTTAATGGTGCTGCTATAGCAGCATACTTAGGTATATGTTTTCTAAAGAAGCCTGTTGCACCAAGAAAGCGGCGCACACCTTTTGCATTTCGTGGAGGTGTCATATCTACAATACTACGCACCTTCTCAGGGTCTGGCAAAATACCTTCAGGTGTTACTTTAAATCCGAGGAATCGAAATTCCTGCACTGCAAACTCGCATTTTGCCATGTTAAGCTTAAAACCAGCATTATTAAGAATTTTAAGGGTTTCCTCAAGCTGTACTAGATGAGACTTGAAGTCAGGACTATAAACTACAACATCGTCCAGATAAGCAAGAGTGTGCCTACCTAAAACTGGGGAAAGTACGATGTTCATGGTGCGCTGGAATGTCGTTGGTGCTGTAGAAAGCCCAAACGGCATCCTGCGAAATTGAAAGAGACGGTAACCATCACTAAATGCAGTTTTGGGTTTATCAGCAGGTTCTACTGCCACTGACCAATAAGCAGAACGGCTGTCAAGAAGTGAAAAGACCTGAGTGTCCCTGAGTTCGTCGACAAGTTCGTCAATCCTCGGGAGAGGATATGTATCAGCAACTGTTACAGAATTCAGATTTCTGTAATCTACACAAAAGCGTAAACTACCATCCTTCTTTTTCACTAATACAACAGGTGAAAGCCATGGAGATGTTGACGGCTCAATGATACCAGCTTTCAACATGTCATCACACTCCTTCCGGATCTTTTCTTTGGCTGACTCAGGTAACCGCCACTGTCTAGTGCATAAAGGTGTTGTATCACCTGTCACGATCTTATGGGTTACACCAGGAACCAAACCTACTTGAGTTTTATCCCCTGAGAAGAGAGAAGGGAACTTTGCAAGAACTTCCTTTAACTGTTCCCGTTTCTTTGAGTTAAGATGACCAAGAGATGGCCCAGCAGCAACCTCCTCACTATCTGCTTCAATTAGTGCCGATTCTGCGATGGCACTTGCTTCTAAAGCAGCATCGATTCTCCCCACAGTATCACTATCAGGTAACAAAGAGAACAGATCATCATCTACCTGAGAATCCTCTGCCAACTGAAGACCATGCTCCTGGTCAAACTCATCCTCTTCCCACTCAAAATCTGGTGCCTCCTTATGATTGTCCAGATCAACAGCTGTTGCTCTTTCTGAAAATAGTTTATCTTTAGTTTCTACAGCATTGAAAAGATCTACTTCTTCAGCTACACAAAAATGAGACCCATTTCGGAGTGTTATAGGTTTAGCTGTTAAATTTACCACAAAAACAGAGCATCTATCCTTCTGA